GAGGAGGAGGAGGAAGGAGGAGGAAGAAAGGATGAGAAACCAGCAGGAGTGCGAGCAAGAAGAAGAAGAAGAAGAAGAAGAAGAAGAGGAAGAAGAAGAAGAGGAACAGGAAGAGGAGGAGGAAGAAGAGAAAGAAGAACCGAGTCACTGTCTAATGGCCTCGCTCCACTACTCAGCATTGTACACGTATCTGGACTGTTTATGCACCAGATACATTCCGACTGATCGCACATTTTGAAAGTATATGGACCATTTCCATGTCCAGATGCATTTAGCAGGTTGGGGGCTTGAGCGAGGTCCTTAGTTAAGGGAGTCCTGAGCCTTTCTCGAGATCAGTCTTTAATGGCGTTACGTCGATACCAGCAGGAAAGTGGGAGGGCACTACCCTCTTACCCCGAATACAACACACCCTCATCATGACTGTACCATACTCGAAAAAATAACTTGTACACATTCATCATGCCGTGCGTTCTATTCGGGGGAATTAGGCGGTAAAAGCGCCGTTCACGGCGTGCTTGTTGTCCCAAACCAACTTTTTTTTTTTTTTTTTTTAATTATTATGTTCCTTGTTTAGACAATCCCCTCCCCGCTACTCTTTCTCAGAGTGTGCTCACACGACGTGGGCGGGTAAGGGCCTTTTTTTTTTTTTTTTTTGGGAATGATAGGGCTTTATCGACTGCTCCATGACCGTAATTACTGCCTGATAAGACTACGTAGCCGTAATTGCGGTCAGATGCATTCGCAAATGACCTCGTGTGAGTGTTGTTCGGATGCATCATTGACTGGGGCGTTGGCGGCAGAACGCATCTGACCCCAATTACGGCTTTCGTCTTCCCCTGAACACAACGCACCATTTTTTTTTTTTTTATTATTATTTTTTTTTACAACGCACCATTATAATAAATGTATACAGTGGTAATTTTCCAGTTCAATACAGACTTGATGAGGGTGCGTCCTGTTCGGGGGAAGAAGGTACTCATGGTGGGATGCACATGCATACAGCGCTCTGCACGTCCAGCGCTTGCATCGGAAGAGCATTGAACGCCGGGATCCATGATCAATCTCCCAATTACGCAGCAAACAAACAAAAAAAAAAAAAAAAAAAAAAAAGAATCGCAGCTGACGTCCTTCTCTCTCTCTCTCTCTCTCTCTCCCTCTCTCTCTCTCTCTCTCTCTCTCTCTCTCTCTCTCTCTCTCTCTCTCTTCGCTTCCGCGGCGGCACCTCCATCTCCCTCCCTGATGTAGCCCTAGGGATCCGAGTAGAGAGGCAGAACCACGCCACGTGGCAGGCAGAGCGCGAACAGAGTACTGGAAGTCTACCATGGGTCCATGACGTAAGGATAGCAGCTGCAGACTGCTCTGAACTCTCATTTTTCTCCTTTGCCAAGCTCAGCGGGAGGCGGTTGGTGGGGTCCTGGTGGTGGTGGGATGGCGCCGTGCGAGGGAGGGGCAGTTCTCTCTCTCTCTCTCTCTCTCTCTCTCTCTCTCTCTCTCTCTCTCTCTCTCTCTCTCTCTCTCTCTCTCTCTCTCTCTCTCTCTCT